ATTTAGTTTAATTAATATTTTATTAATTTATAATTTTTTAAATAATTAGTTATAATATTTAAAAATATCAAATTATAAATTGATTTTAATATATTAAATAATAAATATTAATTATTTTATTAATTATTAATTATTTTTAATAATTAAATTAAATAAAATTATGTAATTTTAATAAACTATTGAGCGGTCATAATCACACCCAAAAAATCTATAATGACATAAGGCCAACAAATGCATGACATTGATAATCCAAAAAGAATTTACTTCCAAAAAAAAAAAAGAAAAAAAAATCTCCTGACAGGATGTAACAGTTAACAACAGATAAAGACAGTCCGTGTCACCCCTCACAATTACCTTACGAACTGAAAACCAAGGATTGGGAAAATGGAAACATAAAGTAGAGACCCACAAAATGGCACTAAGAAAACAGTTTGTGGATTATTATTGGGAACAGTGAGAATGACCCATAAAGACGAAAGCAAAAGCAGCATCATTTGGACAACAAGCAAGTGGTTTTCCTGGTGCAGAAACCTCTAGAAGAATGGTAAAGCAATAAAAAAATAAGAATATGGGGTGAGAGAGGCTCGAACTCTCGACCTCAGGATAACTCAGAAGCTATGAGACCTACGCGCTAGCCAACTGCGCCACCACCCCATGTTATTCTAATGTTCATTTAGAAAATTATATAATATCAATGCTGTTAGGTACAGAATCGAAGAACTGGACCTCAGGTCCAAATCATTTCCAAATTAGTAATGAGAAAGGGTCCATGACATACGGGCCATTGAGCTTTGATATTTGGATGCTGGCCCGGATCACAATAAATAAAAGGGAAAAGATAATTGGTCTCAACTCTCTCAACCCTGTAAATGTAATCCTATCTTTTATTTTTTGATGATATATTTAGGAGATTGAGAGATTTAATATTAAACAATTAATTAAAAAAAATAGTCTTTTCATTTTAGTATGGTATTGTAGTGCTCGTCCAATCAAATACAGATGATAGAATTACACAAAAATATAAGTCACAATTGTGGCCATAAGATATTGTTATGTGGTCATAACCACACCCAACAAAGCAGTACCTCATCTTGGAAAGTGGCCATTCTCAGGAATTGAATTGACGAATATGGTTGAGACTTGAGAGTAATTGCAGGCCAACCAATACACAACCCCTTAAATTTGCAAAGTTAGGTTTTGGAATGGAAAGCCTCAGAAACCAGGAAAAGACAATACGAACAGCGGTAGTTTAGGATTTGAAGTCGTGTCCTGTGTCTCAGACAAATTAAGAGACTCTTAATTAATTCATCAACATTCACTCAACAGTCATGAGTTTGGAGCTACTTAATCATTTTAGTTTCTTGTTGGTCAACTAAAATGGACTTCTCATTTAATTTCATTTACTCAATCAGTCTTTAATCCCAGTAAATTCACCGCGCTGCCTTGAAGAGTGAAGAGGATAGTTTCATACAATCAAGACAGCTAATTGCTAAGTTAATTTTAAGTTAAACTGCTGGACTTGTATAAATGGCCCCTTTAAAGATGTGAATTGATAATTTAGAGATTATAAATTGAAAGTTATGATTTTTAAGTTTATACCTTAATTAAAACTGATAAGAAAAAATTTACAAAAGAACAATTATCATCTATAGTAGCGTAATGAAAACAATGTTAATTTTCTCATAACAAAAGAAAAAGGTACTACTTATTTTATGGAGTGGGACGGGGGTGTGTTATATGGGAAGAAGTGTGTTTGCTTGTCTCTGCATTGAGGCTCCATCCATTGATTGGTGGTGGGTGCTGATGTTGGAGATGATTGAGTGAAAGTTCAGTGGCTCTGTCAAAAATAAAAGGCATGACACCTAATTTAGCCTATGAACTCATAATGTTTGTTTAGTATGGTCTTAGAACTCGTTTTTAGGTCAATTATGCCCTTGCACTATATTATTTGGCTAATTAAGGTTAGAGTAAAATGCAAAATAAGTCACATAGTTGTTATCTCTTTGTTGAAACGACCACCTAATCTTTCTTCTTTGTGAAAGCCTAATGCGCAATATACTTTAACGGGATGGTTAAAATCATGCAAACCTTTTTTTTTTTTTCGTCTATCTATGACTTTGAATAGATTATATTGTATTATATACTCTTTTTATTCAAGAATAATTTTCATTTTTCATAAATTAACATATATAGATAAAAACATATAGTCTCCAAAATTTTAATCTTACAAAAATTTCAAAAAATGTCTTATTTCAAGATAGATAGAGTATATGAATTAATTAATCTAACAATAAATCTGAGAACTAAAATGAAAAAAATAAGATATGATCATGGACCAATTTAGAGGTTATTCAAAATTTTAAAAAGGAAAAAAAAAATCGTATATATATAGATGAAATCCAGCTCATAAATTGAGAAAGTATGAAGCGACCCCACGTGAAGGATTGCCAGTTCACTTTGTACAGTTTTAATAAATGTAAACTTTGCTCATAGGCTGGCTCCCCGTCCCAAAGCCTGGCATCAAGCTATATTTCGACTCTCTTCTTTTTCTCCATTATAATTAGATGAAGGAAACTTTTGTTCTTTACAACGAACCCCTCCTGAGAAAAGTCTCACTTTGTGGTTCTCGTTACAATTGGTGGGGTTGGTTTGTGGATAAAAGAGGGGTTGGTGATGGTTTTTTATTTTATTTTTGGTTTTAGTAATTGGTCCACAAGCACTAATATTGTCCATGCATTAAATTATTTAAAATTAAAAATTATTTACATGTCAATTAACAATAAAAAAATATTTATTAGGTAAATAGATATTTCTAATAATTAAGTACATTTAGTTTGAGAAAAACAGTTAAGAGGAGAGGAAAGAGGAGAAAAATAAATTTTTTTATTAATTAAATTGTATTATTTATTAACGTTATAATTTGATTAATTAAAAAAATTTATTCAACCCCTACTCTCTTTTTTTCTGTTTCACTCAAACCAATCATATCTTTAGTAAATTCACTGGCAAATTATCTTTTTAACCTTCTCAAGAATAATTGAACAATTTAGTGATTATAAAAACGGTATGAAACAAAATTTTTTTATTAACCACGACCCAGCATTGGGCCGGGGTTGCTTCACAGGGTCGATTTTTTATATGCACGAGGAACAACTGGCGATGGCGGTTTTGTGTGAATACAGGATTTTAATTCCTAACTGTTGGGTTTATTCCTCTCGTTTTGTTTATCTTTTAATACTATGACTTTGTTTAAGATAGTTAAGATTGTAGCTATAACCGTAACTGTAATTATCACTACTAGAAAACGCAATATATTCGACAGATTTTTTTGTCGAATATATAGAAATTTCTGTCGATTATACTTTAATCGACAGATATATTTGACAAAAAAAGATGTCGTATAAAATGCAGTCGATAATCAGTATATTCGATATAAATTTTCTCTGTCGAATTTACTAGTTAAATCGATAGATACTTACTGTCGAATATAAGTATTATCGACAGAATTTCACAGCCAGATTTATAGTTTTAGTAGCTTATATTCGACAGTCATTGGCTATCAATTAAACTTGTTTAATCGACAACCATCTACTGTTGAATATGTTTTTTTTTTTTTTTTATGAATGCCATATTCGACAGCAAATTGCTGTCGAATATACTTGCCAATAAAATAAAATAAAAAATTTGAAACTTCAGCAAAATCTGAAATTAAAAATCTTATATTATTTTTTGTTAATTTTGTATAAAAAAATCAATAAAACACACAATTATCAAATTACCTAGCAATATATTTAACAAACAATTTTAACAATAATATAAAAAGTAATAGATAATCATAAATAAAATTTAAATTAGCATTAACTTTAATTATTTAAAAAATAAGTTATTGTTTCTATAAAAAATAACAAAAAAAATTTATATCAAGTGATAAGAATTTTAAAAAGAAAAGAAGATAAAAAGTATATAAATTACAAAATTTACCTCATATTACTTCATAATTAATGTATAAAAATCTGAAAAAAAAAAAACTATTAGTATGTTAAATAATAAGAATTCAAAAAAAGAAGAAGAGAGAATAATGAAAAGAAAAAGATGATTAAAGGTAATTTATGAAAATATAAAGAGGAGAATGTAAAAGAAAAAAGAAAATAAAAGGAGAAGAAACTTAAAAAGAAATGTTATCTGCGGAAAAAAGAAAAGCAGGAAGAGAAGGGAAGAGGCAAAAAAATGAAAATGAGAAGAGAATGAGATGGTCTGCTGCCGGAGTGATATTTATAGGCCAAACATCTTCGACAGAAATTCTATCGAATATATTTAAAATCTAAATTACCAGGAAAAATTCAATTTTTTTCGTGGTAACCGAAAAATTCAATTTTTTTTGGGGAGAGGTGCGGGACATGGTTATATTCGACAACCATATTGGCTATCAAATATACAAAGTTTTTTTTTTTATTTTTCGCCACAAAGGCTGGGGAAATTCAATTTTTTGGCTGGGGGACCTAGGAGTATATTCGACAACCAAGTTGGTTGTCGAATATATTGGGTTTTTTTTTTTTTTTTGGCCAGGAAGTTAAAATTTTTTCTGGAGAAATTCAATTTTTTGGCTGGGGGACAGCCCGAGGGGGGGGTGGTATATTCGACAGCCAATTGCTGTCGAATATGTTTTTTATTTGACAGCCGTATTGGTTGTCGAATATACATGTATTTTTTTTCTCTAATTATTTCTCTTTTTTTTTTTGAATTTTTTTTGGTTTTTCTTTTGATTTTTTTTTATTAATTTTCTTGTAAATTTTTGGTTTTAAAAGTAATAAGAGTTAATTTTTTTGAGCTAATAATTAATTATAAAAATTTTAATTTAGATAAAGATATATATATCCTTTTTTTTTTGTAAAATATTATATTGTAATTATTTTCTTTTTTACTATAGGATTGTTAAATTTTATTAATATTATATATTTTACTTATTTAAATTCAAATACTACATAACTAAAAACTAATTTAAGTTAATAAAATATATATTAACTTTTCATCCTATATACCATATATCCACACACGCAATACATATATATAAACATATATAATATAAGTTTCAAATATCAATGTCTCTAACTATGAGGTGGGAAGTGATCAGGTCTAAATCCTTCACAAGAAGGATCAGCAGTCTGAGGTGGTGCAGAAGAAGGATAATCAGTCTGGGGTTGTGTAGCATTCATAGAGTATTGTTGGCTAAGTAAGCGCATGTGCTCTTGAAATCTCCTCTCAAAGCTGGCCTCCATCTCTGATACTCTCTGTGATACCTCTGTATGAATATGTGCAGCCACCTCTGTCTGAACTCGCTCA